CACTTGTGAGCCTGTCTCATGACTGCTGATCAGGGGCTTAGTTCAACGAATCTTTCAGTGACTAAAGCCAAGAGTTTGTCTCTTCTGCCTAAATGTGTTAAACAAAAACAAAAAGACCAATTCCACCAGGGGTAAACCTATGACTCATGATGTCCTAAGATCTGTTCATTAACCAGTCTTTACAAAAACCAGGAGTTTTTGTGAAGATTAAATGGGATTCGATAAAGAAAGAACATTGCACCTGGGAACAGGGTAGCAGCTTAAAAACTGTTGGTAATAACTTTTGCTATTTGTCAAGATACAGTCAGACATAGAAACATATTAATGTTTTAAACCTAAGTGGTTATTATCTGCTTATTTTAAAGGATGATTGGAGCAAGTTTCTTATGCAAAGTTGGTAGAATGCTATTTCAGGGCAGTTCATGGGAAGCCAGGGATGGGCAGGCTCGCCCAGAGGTCAGGCTCCCCTGGGGCCATCTCGCTGCCCTTGGAATCTCTGATCAGTTTGCTCTAATCCCCTGATGATCCAAATTTGGGGGCAGTGGAAATCTATTTCACATAGTTACCGCAAGCTACAAGTTGCAAATTTCAGGTACTATGTCCAGATGAGAGTCTGCTATGTCACAGGACCCCGCTGCACTTATAATGAAATATGAATTAATGTTTTAAAAATAAATCTTGCATTAGCGTGAAGACTAATACAATGATATTGAGTTATAATTTTCAGGATTAAATTATTAAATGTAAATATTAAAAATGTATTATAATTTTTGAAACTCTCTTTTGGGATTCCTTCATTGTTTAACCTATCAGGCTACTTAAATAGCAAGGTGGTATGGGCCCCTCACCGCCTTCGAAGGGGTCTGTGGTCCTATGGCCCTTCCCATGTAGGAGCTGTGTTACCAGGTAAGATCCTTGAGGTGTCAAATGTCCAGTGTAGGACAGGGACAGTTTGCTTCATTTATTCATCCTGTGTGTTCGTACATGGTCATGTCGCCGTAAACACTCTGAGAACAGATGATGTGAATGCCCTGGAGGTTGCTGAGTGGCTCTACTGGTTACGCTGCCTGACTTTACAATGATGTCAGCAGAGGGAATAGAGAGAATTACTTTTCTCTCTAGCAATTTTGGGGACATTTTTGATACACAATTGAAGTTAGAGGTAGAAATTATGCAGCCATTCAGAAAAATGAAGCTGTTTTAGGAAAATGAAAAGCCTTCGGATCCTCTTATGCAGCATAACTGACGTATAAAACGTCGGAGATGCTATGCTTTATTGCTGTTTCCCTCCACGGGCGCACACACATCTTTGCATAAATGGGCAATAAGCTCTATAGAAAGGGTGAGATCACGGGCCTTCCGTGTTATCTGAGGGACGCGGCAGGCACTGTGCCTGGAGTAGCGTTGCCAGGTAAGATCCAGGGCCCCCGATTAAATTTGAATTTCAGATAAAGAACAAATAATTGTCTTAGTATGAGTGAACAGTATATATTTAGTATACACGTACCCCATGTAGTGCTAAATCTGACCACCCTAACTTGGAGATAAAGAACGAACAGAACCAAGGTACCGAAAACAGACATGTGATGAGTTGGGGATGGAAGGCGTAACTGCCACCCAGCAGGCGCTCAGTAAATGCCAGATCCCACCATCTCTGCAGGGGACAGGCAAGGGTGAATTCCTCCTTTCAGGTCCTGTGGGAAATCCTAAAACAAAGTAACAGATCTCAGGTGTTTTAAAAATCTTTGTATTTAATGAATTAACAGCTTCATCACCTACCTGAGGTGGTATATTATTCATAGCTACAGGATTTGTTTTTAACATTAATTCACAAGGCTCTAGACACTCGGTGGTCCAGGGATGGTTAAAAGTTTAAAATGTGCTGACAAATACCTCCTCCAACACTATCAGTTAATCGTTTTAACTGTTGAGTTCACTTGGTCCTTGGTGAGTACAGTGATAGGCATGGTCAGTGACAGACCCTATTTCCATGTGACAAATGGGGAAACTGAGGTCTAGAAGTGTACTACACAGCCCAGGCTCAAAAAAGTAGAAATGGCAAGACGGGGGTCAGAACCTGGGGTCAGGGCTGCTCCGTGGGCTGAGACCTGTGCCGAAACTGGCTGACAGAGACAGGGCCTCGAAGACTTCCGGGTCCTCAGGGGTCCCTGGGACAGGAAGGCCGACTGACTGCGGGAGCTGCAATTACCTCACGAGGAAATTATTTCTTTAGTGTGAAGCAGAATTGCTTCTGGTTCTGGTCCTCCAGGCACAGAGACACCAAGAAAACACAGTTAATTAGGCACTTCGAGTCTAGACAACTGCCTGCAGAATCAAGTTGGAGGATTCCCACCTTGCCCTGAAGGTTGGTAACCTTAGTTTCTATGCGAAGTGCTTCAAAGATGACCTGGTAGAAAATGATGCCAATCGAGCTCTCATTGAAAGGCATTTCAGGCATGAGGTGGGTGGCCTGCCCTTTGATGGGGAGGAAAGGCTGCTAGCTTTCTGTTGATAATTCCCAGTGTTCCTAACAGAAGGCATAGCCTGTCTTAACCCCAGGACGTTTTGCCACTGGCCTGCTGGCCTTCCAGCTTGGGAGGGGCTGAATACACGGGAATAATATAAGTTAGAATATATGGAGAACAGTGATTCTCAACCAAAGCCAAGTCTGTCTCCAAAAGGAAACTGGACAACCTCAGGACAGGTTTTTCTGCTTGTCACCACCGGGACCATACTCTTGGCCTCTACTGCGTAGTGGTCAAGAATATTACAAAACTTCCTGCAATAAGCAGAATAAACCCTGACACTAAAAAGCTTCTGATTCAAAATGCCGGTTATGGCTGGGTTGAGAAAAGCTGCTGTAGAAGACTCCATCATTCCTTGGGTCTGCAAGTATCACTCTAATCGCTTGCCTTACAAGCAGCATATAAGAACAAGGACTGACACTGTCTTCACTTGGCTCTGGGGGTAACACACTCTCCCACTTACTGTTTCCTCTCTTTCAGCGAACTTTCTGAGTCTCCTTGGCTGTCTCTCTGCATCTCTCAGACCTCTTAAAGTGGCCATGCACCAGGTCTCAATTCTTGACTGTCATTGCTCTACATGCCCCCTTGGTGATCCCATACAGTCTCAGGACTTTAAACATCATTGGCATTGTTAACCTCAAATTAAAAAGCCAAAATGAGAGGCAACAAAGCACTTATTTTTGGATCAAAGAATTACAATTGTGGAAGCACAGATTCAGGGACAAATCCAAATACTGTTCTGATCACAGGGGGGAAGCAACAGGTTTTTATGAGAAAAGGAAAGGAATAATTACATTAAAAAAAAAAAAAGAAGGAATCCCTAGATGTGCTGGTAAACTGAGCTACTCTTGGCGATACACGATTGGTTACAGGTTCCGTCTTCAGATAGAGGGCTCACAATCATCAGTCTTTGTGGTCAGAATGTCCACTTTCCTGCTGGCTTTACCAGCAATTGTTTGCAAGATAAGGTTGGTTTGGCCCAGTCCAAAGGTCTGGGAACATTCCAAAGGTTCAGGGAACAAGATGTGCAAGGCAGTGCCTCTGGAACAGCAGCCCCATTTATGTTGACTTTTACAACATATCAACGATCCCTGCGTCTGTACCATTCCAGACTTAGACCTCCAGATGCATATATCTCCCCACCAACCTGACTCCTCTATTCTGTGCCCAGGAGATATTTCACACCCAGTGTGTCTAAAAAGTAAACTTCTAATTCTCTCTTACATTCCATATCTGATCCATCCACATTCTGTTAATATTTAGGCCCAAAATACTGCAATCATGTTTACTCTTTATTTTTCTCAAGTCTATATATTTCATCTGCCAGCCATAATTGATGACTCTAACTTGAAAATATATCCAGAATCTGATCAATTCCTATTATTTTCACTGACCCAGTGTCTTAGTCCATTTGAGCTACTGTAATAAAATACCACAGACTGGGTGGCTTGTAAACAACAGAAAGTCCTTCTTCCCAGTTCTGGAGGCTGGAGGTCCAAGGCCAGGTGTCAGCATGGGCAGGGGAGGCCCCTCTTCCATGCTGCGCTCTTTTCGTTGTATCCTCACATGGTGGGAGGGGCTAGGGAGCCCTGTGGGATCTCTTTTATAAAAGCTCCAATTCCTTTCATAAGGGCTTCATCCTCATGACTGAAGGACCTCCCAAGGGCCCCAACTTCGCACACATCACATTGGGTATTAGTATTCCAACACGGGCTTTTGGGGGGACACAAACATCCAGACTACAGCATGCAGGGTCAGGCCCTGCTTGTTTGTTGCCTAGGTTACTGCTATACCCTCCTCACTGCTCAGGACCACTGCTGTGTCCACAGAGGCTGAGGTGGCTAAACATCCCCCAGTATTCAAAACTGGGCAAAAGCATGCTTACAGACTTACACAGATAAGTCATACACAATTGTGTTTTATACGAATAAGACATAATTATAATTGCTAATTATATTAGTTCCTTTTTATTGGTATAACGAATTCCCACAAACTCGTTATAGGTTAGGAAGAAACCCAGTATAGGACTCACTGGACTAAAATCGAGGCATCAGCAAGGCTGTGTTCCTTTCTGGGATTTCTAGGGGAGGATCCCTTTCCTGTCACTTCCCAGTCCGAGAGGTACTCCGCATTTCCTGGTCTCTGGCTCCTTTTTCCACCTTCACAGCCAGAAATGGTGAGTCCAGTCTTTTACCCATCACAGTGCCACATTACTCTGACCTCCACTTCTTTTTCCTTCCTCTCCTTTCAAGGAGCCTGGTGACTACGCTGGGTCTACGTAGATAGTCCAGGAAAAAGTCCTTACCACCTGAGTACATATCTAACTGCAAGTGCACCCTTCATTCCTCTTGGCTGTGTGCCTTTGCGAATTCACAGTTTCTGGAGAGGAGGACACGGATGCTCTGGGCAGCCATTATTCTGAACACCACACTAATCATAGCTTTGTCTTTTCCTTTTATTTATTTATTTTTTTGAGGGAGGTACACTGTTCCCGGAAGTATTGCAATGCCGGGTCAATGCATGGAGTTGATGGAGGAAGCTCCTATTCCACCTCCCCACTCCAAAAATCCATTAAATATATTGTCCTCAAATAGAGGACGTATTAGATATTAAATTGGCAAGAACAGATACTACACTTGATCTTAGCCAAATGGCTGAGAAGCAATCATCATAGCTTTTTCTAGTCCAGCTCTAAAATTTTGATACTTATTGCTTGATTCCTCCCATTTAATTAACCCAAACACTTGACATTACATATTGCTAAAATAAAGCAACAAAGGAGAAGAAATAATCATAAAATATTGACATTGATGCCAAGTAGTCTTTTATGGGAAGATTATTTCATTTTAAAAAATTGTCAAAGGAAAAATATTATGTTTGACAGGGAATTTATTCCAAAACCAACTTTTCAGGACAACATCAACCTAGAACACTGAGTAATATTTCAACTTATTTCTTTGACCAATTCGTGGGCTTCTCCATATGTTCATTTCTTTGGGACAACAGTAGTAACAGCACTTAGCTGAGTGCCTGCATCGTGCCAAGCTCAGTTGTGTTTTAATGCGTGATTCATCGAAGTCTAGCATTTGAAAGGGGTGTCACTGTCCTCTTACAGACCACAGAATACAGGCTTAGAGTGACTTATTTGCCCTGCTAAGAGACAGGGTGGGCATTTGAAATGAAGCAAGAAAGCCTGAGAAGTTTAAACAACTTTTCATGGGGATCCAAGAAAGAGAGTAGCAGAAACACCTCTGGAATTCACAAGTCTCAAATTCAACCCAGTCATTTTGTCCCTAACCAGGCAACAGGTCAAGATTATGCTAATTAAGCTTTTTTTTTTTTTTAAAAAAGACCTGTTCTGCCTGGGAGAAGCTTCCTTCTTCATAAACAAGCAGTTTGGGAAAAGTCAATTTCCAGTGGTTATGTTTACTGTATTCTTCATTTGGAGAGAGCGTCCAATTCCAGAAATGTTTTTGCCATCAATAAAGTCACTTTAACCTGAAGAGTCACGGAGGATTATCTTAAGTGCGCGCAGAGCAGCAGCAATGAGCCAAGGAGCCATTCATTACGCTCACTGATGACTGGTTACAAAGAGCTGACCCTGAAAGATCGTGTTCCAATAATGCAATTACTTGCCAAAAATCTTAATAAAAAGCACATCTCTTCTTCTCATGCTCCTCAGAGGGAAGCCACTTTAACAATCCCAACCAAAGACAAATGCACAGGTTCAGAATACCTGAGGTTTTGGTTACATACCTACTCTCTGATCTTATGCTGAGAAGATGAATATAAACAGTGCTGTCAGGACCAAAACACTGCTAAATGTGACACCATAAATCATCACCATTAGTAAATGTAGTGTCAGGTTCTCATATATTTCAGACTATTTTAAACCCACACTCCATTATTTCATGATATGCCTGAATGAACCCTGGTGCTTTGATACAGCAAGTAAGCCAGCCATCCAATCAACTTGTCTTTCCTGGCTGAACTCCCAGAGGGTTCTGGAGGCCAGACTCCCCATTTCAGCTGGCATCACGCTGCCCATTTCCTCGGCTGCAGGATTGATGGGATCCCTTCTCTTCTCTTCCTTTTTTAAAAAAATTCTCACCTGCAGATATGTTTGTTGATTTAAGAGACAGGGGAATGAAAGGAGGGAGGGAGGGAGGGAGGAAGGGAGGGAGAGATGTTGGGGGTTAGAGAGCGAGGAGAGAGAAACCGATCAGTTGTCTCACTACTTGTCCTGACCACGGATTGAACCTGTAACCTAGGTATGTGCCCTGACCTGGGACTGAACCCACAAACTCTCGGTGTACGGGACGATACTCCAAACAACTGAGCAACATGGCCAGGGCCTTCTCTTTTTCTAGAGAAAATTTCTTGTATCTTCCATTGAAAGAAGTGAGGAAAGGCTAAGTACATATATACTTCAATGGTTCTACCACTGAGGTAAAGGCTGGGTGTCCATCTCTTTTCCTGAACCAGAATGGCACATGACCTTTCACTCTCAAAGTCTATTCCTTCTTGAAAAACCCTGATTTTAAAAGCCAAGCTTCCTTGCCTTTCATGCTTAAAGGCTGAGATCTATCAGGGGATCTTAAACATAAGCACTTTCACAGGTCGTAAATCCCTAGAAACTGCATGCCAAATTTTATGTGTATAAGGGGGAAATACGCATTTTTCAGGGAGAAGAATTCGTCACATTTAAAACAAACAAACAAAAAGGTCCCATGCATGACCCATAATATTTTAAAGCCCCCTGGAAAGAGGACTGATAAAGGCTTTTCTTGCTCCAAAATCAAAATGCTAATTCTCGATGTGCTGATGTTGCAGTTCTGTCTGACAGGCACTGATAGGTATTGATGCCGGTCCCATGCCAGAGATGACTTGGAACAAGGCTGCGTATAAGTAAATGCAGACATAAATAAACAGAAGAGCAAACAAGTGGTCAGAAGCGATGGAAAAACACCACGCCCAAAGCTTGCCATAATTAATTATGGCAGGTTCCTCTCCTCTCTACTATTTCCTCTCATGGATGAATATCAGTGAAAATACGGGAAGCTGAGAACTACCGTAAGGCTAATAAGCACAGAGGGCTCTGAGCAACGATGAGGGGTGCCTGACCGAGGCTTCTCAAAGGAGTGGAAATCGACATTCAATATTCAACTGTAAGGTCAGAATGAGCTAGGCACAGACCGGATGTTAGAGCTACAGAGAAAGAGCAGTTCTTGGTAAAAAGAATAGGATATTGGGCTTTTTAAAAAGTGTTCTCTTTGACAGACGGAAAGATGTCCCAAGTGACTGGAAATAGAACGGGAGGTCTCAGGCCTTCTACGATCCTGACTAAGTCACCTGCTCTCAGTCACCAGTGGATTTCCATGTGTCAGATTGCTCAATAGTACATATCGCCATCGGAAATTACTTTTAATCGGTCAGTCATTAAACAAGCATCAACAGAGCCCCTTTGGCGTTGAACATTCCATTCTTCTTTTTTGAGGGTAGAGCAGGGAACAAACAGGTCACATTCCTGCTCCCACGGAGCTTACTTAGCAGCTACTCCAGTCACTCGTTTACTTTTTATCTGTTTCCCCCACACTCTCTAAAATGTCCACGGCATGAAGGCACAGACCTTGTGTATAGTTCACATTATTTCTCTGCCTAGTATCTAAAACTGCTATTTGAAGGAAGACTATAATGTGATTAGACTTTTGCTTAAAAGGGCATTCTGGCTACATTCTATAGAACGGGTGGGTGTGGGAAGACTGAAGACGGAGTAACTGCACGTCCACAAGCTCATCAGGGACTCTGCACACACGACGATGTTGGGTGAACACGGTCCTCAGTGACAATAAGCTCCCTCTCAAAAAAAAAAAAAAAAAATCCCCCCCCCGCCCCCAAATTCTTCAGAAGAGAATTCTCTAATGTTCATAATCCTTTTTTTTTTTTTGCGGGGGGCGGGGGCGTTACTCAAATCACCACAGATAGGTGGATCCCATTGCGTACGCCTGCAGGCCAAGGATGTCACTGAGAACCATTGCCAGGGAGCTCTGCAAGTCCACGCGGTTTGGGGGGTAGGGGGACAGCAGGAAATTTATTCCATTGCCAAGTACCCAAGCTCGTCTTTGTTAATTCTTAGCAGAACAGTTTCAAAACATATATACAGCCAGAGTGGTAAGCCTAAGAGTAGATTATAATAAGAATTTTAAAAGTTGCTAATAGTAATTCCCTTTACTGGGTGACAGGCGCTGTTATAGTTGTGTGTGTGTGTGTGTGTGTGTGTGTGTAACGACGCATACCTGGTCACAGCCCTAAGAGGCTGGTGTTATTACTGGTAGCCTGAAAGAGGGCACGGTTTTCATAGAATCCACTACTGGGGGAAAGGAATGAAGAGTTAAAGAAAAACACTACATTATTTTGACTTTCGGACAAAGAGTTTAGAACACAAAAAAGGCCTAACTGTAAATAAAGTAAAACCCGAGCCATAAAACTTTCTTAAAAGAAAGGGAATTTGTCTTACAGTTTAATTGATTTGGAAGGGGAAGTTGCTGAGCGGGTTCTGATTACCTTGTTGAGGATGCAGCAATTGGCAACAATCATACCGATTACAGGCCATTTAAACAACCTCAATTAAATTAGCGGTGATTCTCAACTACTCTATCTTGCATCAAGATTGCTTTAATTTTTATGTAAATTCAAATTCGGGTTGTGCAACTAATTGTCTCACAGCATACTACGCTAGATGATTTTCATTTATCTTTGTGGAAACCTCAAAACTGCACTCCGAACATTGGTAGGTGCACGCAGAGACCGAACTCGTCCCTGTAAGGCAGTCTTGCTCAAAGGACTCGAAGGTGAGGCCCATTTTGCTGGCTTTCCTCGGAGTCTATATAGACAGACTCATGTAGGAAATGAGGAGAAAGTGACAGATTGAAGGTCACCAGAGTTTAAGAGCGCGATAGTGGAGAAAATACTCTGGACCCGGGGTCCGAAGCCCAGACTTAATTCTGATTCTGCCATCTCCTTATTGTGCATCCGCAACTGTGTACAGACTCACTGAGAAGGTCCCCATTAGCTGGCTATTACTGTGTGATAAAGAACCACACCCTTTCAATGGATTAAAATAAGCATTTCTTACTTAAGAACCTGCATATGCAGGCTGGCTCAGGTTTCCGCTGATCTTGGCTGACATCACTAGGCTCATCCCCTTTGGGCCTGCATTGCCTAAGGCACATTCTGTCCTTGTCTGAAGACAGGAATGCTGAAGGGCAAGCTCCTGTCGAGTGCTGGTGTCTTGTCGGTCTACCAATAACTGGCCAAAGCAAAACAGGAGCCACTCCTAAATGGAAGGGGGAGGAAAAGTCCACTTCATCACTATAAGGCCATGTACATGGATGTGGATGACCATTAAATTCAAGTTATCATACCCTTCCCATTTTCTTTAGCTTCCATAGCCCATACACCAAGGTGGGTGGATTTCATAACTCTCAGGACACTTCCAGTTCTTAACATCATTCTGCAGATGTAGGAGAAAGTCCATGTGATTCTATAGCACTATTTATAAACTATTGCCCTGCAGGCAGGATTTAATCATGTTTTAGTTTGTCGGTAGAGAATTTTAAAATAACCTTAATTAGTTGAAAATATTTTTAAATCGAGAGTATTTCAC